CCCCAAAACCCCAAAACCCCAAAACCCCAAAACCCCGAAGAAGTAGTGATCTATTGAGAATATTAATTATACAAATACTTTGCCTGATTTGGTTAGTTTCTCAGCCAGAGAGAAATATTCCTTCATATTATTTCTTGATTTACTTTTAAGTGCTTTTTTCTTGTTCTTTTTAGCATACCTTTTGACTATGAACGGTGCAGGATCATTATTCTGGTTGGGTCTTAGATGCTTTAAGCTCATCTTTGACTTATCTCTCGAACTGGATAACTTGAACCGAGGCTTGGTCTTATTCGGGCTTTGTGAGAGTGTCTTCGCTTGAGATCTGAAAATCGAGTCGAATGTACTAAACTTCTCAATACCCCTGGTGTTCTGTAACTTGGTATCTGTTTGAATTTGGTTTATCATTGGCAGCTTACCATTAAAATCATTATTCCTCTTGCATCGGTACTTAGGAGGGATCGACTTTTTATTTCCCAAAACCACCTTTGGAATGAGTGGATGTCCCCCAACTATTTTTGGACTGATCATCCGCAAGTTTGTACTCAGATTTCACGTTATTTAAGGTTACTAGGAACTTCCTATTTTGTTTTGTTATATCTTTAAGGAACTTCTTCCTCTGTCTGAAGTTAAGACTCCTGATTCTCTCAGTCTTGGGGCCTTTCTCAGTGTGGCTTTCATGGAAAAGCTTGCTTTTGTTCTTGATAATTTTCTTAAGTTTATCGAGTAACATGTGATTTTCACGCTCTATTTCAGAGTATTTTGTGTCGAGAAGGACGATCTTATTTGCCATTCTGAGTGATGTGAGGCATCTTGGAAGGCTCGTTTTGGAACTGAGAAGCCCTGGATGAGATATGCTTAAGATTGCTTTTATGAACATGCTTGTTGAACTCCTGCCAGACTTTGTTAAGGTATTTACTTCCTACAGGCTTCTCTTTGTTCATTGCTAAATTATTCAATTTATATTAATATTCTTGGGGTTTTGGGGTTTTGGGGTTTTGGGGTTTTGGGGTTTTGGGGTTTTGGGG